ATAGTGAAAGACAATGATGGTTGTGGTGGATGGTGACAACCGTGGTGGTAGTGACAGCCGTGGGTAACAATGGTGATTGTGGTGGTGGGTTTTAGGTGACGATGATCGTAGTGGCAGCCGTGGGTGACGACAATGGTGGTGGTGGATGTGGTGGCAGTGGACGACGGTGATGATGGTTGACAGTGGTGGTGGTGGGACGACAACGATAGTGGTGGGTGGTGACAATGGTGATGGTGGTGGTGGTGGGTGACGATGGGTGCTTTTAGGCGACAATGTGATGGATGATGACGAGTAACATCGGTGGTAAGTGTGGTGGGGGGTAAGTGACAGTGGGTGGGTGCAGTGGTGGGCAATGATGGGTGATTGTGATAGGTGTGGTAGGGGTGGGTGACAATGGCTAGTGGTGATGATGGGCGACGACAGGGTGGTGGTGAGTACTGATGGTGCTAGTAGGATGATAATGGTAATGATAAATAAATATATATAAGAATAATATAATGATAGTGGTGGATGGTGGCAGTGGACGACTGTAGTAGCAATCAGTGATGGGTGGTGGTGGGGTAGTGAGGGTGGGGGTGCAAGTGAGGCACTGGCAGTGATGGGTTAGCGATGGTGGTGACAGTTGTGATGGTCGTGGGGATAATGGTAAGGTGGTGGAGATGGTAGTGGTGGTGGGTGGTGGCAGTGAACGAAGATTGTAGCAATTAGTGGTGGGTGGCGATGGTGGTGGTGGGTTATGGTGGTGGAACGGTGGGGATGGTGGTGGTAGAGGTAGTGGTGGAGTAGTTCGAAACACTATTTTTTTTTAAAATAATTATGAAAAAATTATAAGTTTTAGAAACATTTGTAAAAAGTCACCACAAACACATTTTTATGGACCAATTTTTCTATTAAATTTGGGTTGTTAAATATTAATTATCAGATTAATTTTGAAGTAAAATTTAAAGAGATATTAGCTGCGAATAGCAAAAGTCATTTTGTTTATTTTTTGAGATTTGAATTCTATTGTACTTTATAT